AGCTTCTCTGTTACCCCTGATTCCCCCCAAGCCTTTGCACTCCTTCTGAGGGGTGCAGGAAATACATTTATGTATTGTAGCCTAGTAAGGAATTGGTCAAAAAAGCCATTTCCTGAATCTTATTTTGTTGTCTGTATTGTTACAGACATGCTTGCTGACAGGTATTTTGAAATAAGTTACCAAAATAATTGAAACTGGCATGATATACTGTGTTATTTTGATAAAATAAGCAGAGTTTTAAAATACTATGTGCAGAATTTTTTTTATTTTTTGGCACAGAATTCCCCCAGAAGTAAAATTCCCCCAGGTGGGGAGGAGGGAGCCAACTTGACAAGCAGAGGAAGGTGGAGGCGGCCTACCAGCCCTCTGCAGGGAAAGTCCAAGGTGCATGTGCACCCACATGTGCTTGCGACAGATTCTCTGCTGCAGTAATCCCAGGGGAGGCTGGTGGAGGCAGGCAAGCAAGCAGATGGCAGTCAGCAGGAGCAGCAGTGGGGGAGTGCTCCATGATGCTCCCCGCTCCCTAGCAGCAACAAAAACTCAGCAACAGCCTCCTTCAGCAGCAATGGCAAGCTCTGCCCAGAGTCACAGGATGCAGTGGGAATGAGCCAGGGGACTGCAGGAAGGGAAAAGATGGCATCATGGCTAAGGAAGATGAATGAGAACTAGATTCTATCCCTGCTTCTGAGACAGAGTTTGTGTGTGATGCTGGGCAATTCATCCAAACCAAACTTTTCATAATTGGGCACTAATTGTGTGTTCCTCATTTTTTGGGACCCAACTTGAAACACCTGATGTTGAATTTGCAAAAAAGTGGTGAGTGTTCATAATTGCAAATTAAATCAATGGGAGCTGTGCTCTGAATATAAACAAAAAACAAAAATGAATAAAAAACCTACCGCAACAGTGATAAGTACTGTGGGGGGGAGTGGGGAAGGAAAACAAAAAACAAACCCTATGTTTCTCAGATTGGGCACTCACCATTAGTTTGAAAATGCTGGCCTTATTTTCTGTGCCTCTGTTGTAAAGTGGGGATGATACCACCATCCAATCTCACATGTGTGTTGTGAAGATAAATACATTAATACTTGTAAAATACTCAGAGATTATAGTGACAGCACCACACTAATACCCAGATGTAATTAATACATTCGCATGCACAGTTTGGATGGTATGCACTGAATAAGACCTAGGGTCATACACTGAATGAGGCAGGGGTTCTGTGGCAAGGGGGCTGAGTTAAGGCTGTCTTAACCTTAATTCTGTCATTTCGTAAGTTTTTAGTTAATGACTTTGTAATCTGAAGGTTCTTTTAACAGAATTTTTAAAATCTAAAAAATACACCCATCCAGCCACCTCTTCTCTCCCCAAGACAGGGAATTCCTTGCTCCACATGGGATATAAAACCATCGGGGCTCCAAGGGTTCTCCCACACTCTGCTGCTGTTGTCCTAGGGGAGATGTAAATCCTGGCAAGTGTCAGGTGCAAGAGGGCAGAAAGTTCATCTATCAGTTGCGGTACTTACATGCCACACTTTTCCCCACTACCAGAAACTTTCCTCACTGCAGTGAAAAGCTCCAGCCGCGGGGAGTTTATGAAGCCTTTCCCTGCTGCTGCCGCTCTGGGAAAAACATTTCATTGACATGCACAGCTACACACCATAGCGTGGAAACATCCTGATTTTCACTGTGGCATGAAGCTACACATACTACACATCACTAGTGGTGGCATGTAGTGTGTAGATGTAGTTTAAGATCCTCCAGGATATTTGGGTACTTTTATATTTCACTGAATCTTGCTCCTTTTGTATTGAAGAGTTTTCTTCCCATCTACCTTTGAAGTATTATAATCTGTAGTGAGGCTTACTACTATGTAATGTATACCAATTTTATTGTTAACCATGAAAACAACTAGTTTTCTGATGGTCTTAAAGATATGATTTGTACCACCAAATAAGAAATCTATTCATTCTCAAATCTAGCCTTGACTGAAAATAATGCCATCTCCGATTACTAGGGGGAGAAAGGATATTAAGGATCCAGCAACTACTCAAAAACATTCTTCCAGAGTAACTCACCAGCACAATAAAGCACTAAATATTAATGAAGGTCTGATTTTTATCTTCCTTATCTATTATAGACCAATATAATTCCATTGATCACTTCTGATTTACATTGGTGTAAGGTAGATAAGACTAACTCCAGAACCTATGAATTTTGCAAGCAAGTTACAAAAATATATTTGGGAGTGACATATGTTCTGGTAATCTATGGAAGAGGCACCAAGAAGCTTGGCAAGATACCACTTTTTAAAAATCCGAAGAAATAATTGTAAGTCAGTTTTCTATAAGGACCAGATCCAGTAAAGATGTCAAGCATGCACAAATCCCACTGACTTCAATGGGAGCTGTGAAACACTGATTCCCGTACAGCATTTGGTCTTAAATTACCAATAAAGTGTAAGATCTGATCTATGATGTTAAGGTCCTGAAGTATTAACTCTCTCAAAATAGGCGGACAGATGTACTTGTTTATTTCCTTTACTTTTATTAAAATTTTAAGTTATGTTCCAATTATTCACTTATTTACCTGAATATACTTGTTGGTTAACCTCTCCACAAATGTTTTTACTAATTTCTATGAAATCTTCAGGTTTTTCTTCCAATCAAATAAACTTCACTATGGCTTGCCAACTGATTAATCAGTTTCTCACACTGGGCTTTTCATGCTGCTAGCATCATTAACCAAGTTACTTTTCTTTAGCAAAATGGCTGTCACCAACATTTATTACTGGGACCCCAACAGCACACTCAGGCTAACACGGCTACCACTCTGAAACCTGTCACTGTACAGATAGTGATCAGACATAAGAGACTTACAAATTTAAGGCATTTGTGTTGAAACTACAATGTTCTTGGAGGTTTACTGAAACACTCCAAGTAAGACATTAACATTAGTAGGCTCAGGCCTGGTCTACACTACAGAGTTAGATCAACACAAGGTGGCTTACTTGTCTCTCCTGTGTACCTAATTATGTCAGTGTCTACACTTGAATGCTGCTTTCACCAAAGTGAGTCCCCAGCCACACAGACAACTCCACCTCCATGAGAGGTGTAGCCCTTACGTCAATGTAGTTAGGGTGACACAGCGTCCACGTAGACACTGTTACTACGTTGCCTGTCAGCCTTGAGTGGGGCTGATAAGCTGGAGCCCCATCCCCAACCCTGGCGCTAACAATCCAAGCTGTTGGGCATAGGCTCACATCTGGGGCCTGTGCTTGGCTGACAAACTTGGGCTGTCAGTGGCAGCAGGGGCCAGCTGTCAGTGCCCCACTTCAGACAGTAGAATCACTCTGGGTGAGGACACACCACTGACAGAAGAAGCAAGTGTGGATGTGAACTACTGCTTTAATTACTGTGGTGGTTGTACGTCAACTTAATTTTTTAGTTTAGACAAGCCCTCAGAAATACAAGTTTTAGATTGTTGTTTTTCCCACTGTGTCTATCAAAACTCCCTAGGTAAAATCAAATTGATACATATAGCCTCTAGAGCAGGGGTCGGCAACGTTCGGGACGCGGCTCGCCAGGGTAAGCACCCTGGTGGGCCGGGCCAGTTTTATTTACCTGCTGACACGGCAGGTTCGGCCCATCGCGGCCCCCACTGGCCGCGGTTCGCCGTCCCGGGCCAATGGGGG